CTTTCCCTTTTCCCCCTTTTCCAGGGCGCTGCCCCCAGGGGGAGATTCCCTACCCTCCCCAACTCCTCGATGCCCAACCCCTAGGCCAAGCCCCCTAAGCTGCTCACTTTCCACAGTCAGCTTGGCCTGCGTCTTATCATCTGCTGTCTCGCAGCCATAGAAACCACGGTCAGTGAAACCCACGCTGCGGAGAACCAAGCGGTGACTTGAGCCCTCAGCGTGTATCTCCACATTCTCGCCTGCCACCAGGGCCGTGGCGTTGCGTGTCCACTTGACCTCCGGCCATGGCCGCGTCAGCTCCACCTCCATGGTCACCGAGCTCCGCTCCTCCACATTCTGTGGCTCCAGCTTTTTTTTGAACAACACTGGGGCCTCTGGAGTCACAAGAGAGGGAGGTCATTACAGCCACTGCCACTCTCAGGAAAGCAAGGCAGAGGGACCCTGCCCCAACCCCCAGCCAGCAGAGCTGCCCTCCACCACATTCCGACTCCAAGCTAGGCAAGGCCTTGGCCATACTCAGGGCCCAGCTGCACGCATGCACAGACACAATTTTATGGAAGGAAACCACACTTCAGGGGTCTTCTTTCCTAGTCCCCCTCCCACCTCCTGCTCCCCTGCTCTGAACAACTCCTGCCAACCCCCACCAGCGCCTGGAACTCCTAAGTGTGGCCAGTGACCAGGAGCATTGGGACACAGGGAGCCACTGAGACAGGTGGACTCTGAGCTCCCAGACCGGCTGCACCACAGTCTCTGCCTTAACTAGGCCCTGGATGCGTCACATTAAGGAAGAGAAACGCTAGAGTGAATCTCCTAGTCTCGGACTGTGCCATGATCTCCACAGAAGTGCATCTGCCCGCATTACTCCCTTACTCAAGAACCTGAGATGGCTTGGCTCCCACTTATTCTCAGGTAATGTTCTGGCCCTCCCCCATGCAATCTGGCTTCAGCGAGCAAAGCGTACCCCCATCATCTGCATCTGCTTGCACTGGCTGCCAACTCCAGTCTCTCCCACCTTGCCATCCTTTGGGCTCAGCAAGGATGGTCTCCTCTAGGAAGACTCCCTGGAGTGTCTGAGCCTCCGCCCACTCCCCGACCAGGTGTGCACTACAGGAGTTTACCATCTCCCCTTTAGAGCAGGTGCCTGGCCCCTCGGTCCGACTCGACTCTTCTCTCTGCAGCTGACAAACCCTGTGTCCTCTGAAGTCAGCCAGATGAGCTGGATACAGGCCAGCAGCAGGATGCTACCTTGGGACCAGCCCATTAGGAGACGCCTGCTGCGAGGAGCCGGTGAGCCCTTCCTGCTGCCCCACACACGCACCTCGGACCCGGAGGGCAGCCACGGTCTCGATGCCCTCAGCCTCCGCGGTGATCTGGCCGGCATCCTCCAGGGCCAGGCCCAAGATAGTCAGGCTGTGGCTGGCACCCTTCTGCGATATGAGAAACTTCTCGCTGGACTGTAGCCTGACGCCATCCCGGAACCACGTCACCGCCACGTCGCTGGGAGTCACCATGCACTGGAAGGTGGCCTCGCAGCCCTCCTCCGCGACCACCGCGCTCAGCCCGGACGTGAACTTGACCACGCGGGGGACTGCGGACAAGAGCTCCACTTGAGAGGCGGTTAGGAGGGGCAGGGGCCCCCACCTAGCAGACGCCGCGGAAGGACACCTCTGCGGGAAGCAGCCCTGGAATGCTCCGCCAAGCCACCCACCCACCTGGGCGGCCCAGCCCCTGCGCCCGGCCTCCGCATACCGCTCACGGTGAGCATGGCACTGGTGTGGTCATCGCGGCTCTCGCACACGTACTCCCCCGCATCTTCTGCCCGCAGGCCCGACACAGTGAGCGAGCGCTGAAGCCCCGCAGCCGCCATCTGGAAGCGTTTGCCGGCCCGGAGTTGCGTGCTCCCGCGGCGCCACACCACCTGGGCCTGCGCCGGGCTCAGCTCGCAGACCAGTTTCACTGTGCCACCCAGCTCCCCGCTCACCGGCTCCAGGGGACGGCAGAACTTGGCAGCCACCTCTAGGGGAGGGGAGGGGACGTCAGCCTGGTGGGGTTCGGGCCATAGGACCAGCTCTGAGCTGCCCGGTCATGCGCCCTGAGCCTCACCCAGTCTCCACTCCAGGACGCTGCAAACAAGGGGCTCCCAGAGGACCTCCCCGTGGCCCCACTCACCTTCCACCTGCACCGGGAAGTCCTGCTCCTCTGCGCCCAGGAGGCAGCAGTAGACGGCACTGTCCAGGATCTGCGCGCCACGCACAGTCAGGGTGTGGGTGTCCCCCAGGCTGGCCGTCTCGTGCCGCTTGCTGCTGCGAATCTCCACACCATCCTTGAGCCACATCACCGCGGCCACAGAGGGTGTGGCCAGCGTGGCTGTCAGGACGATGTCCTCGTGTTCCCTGACCACTAGAGGTTCCCTGCGTCGGGGTCTCTCCACGGTCGGGGGCTCAAGTTCCGGCTCTGGGGGGCGGGGGTGGGGGGTGACCAACAAGCATTAGAGGGGAGACCCTCGCATCCCTGGCCTGGGTCCCGTCCCCCAGGTCCCTTCTCCCACATGGTGGGAGAAGACTTGAAATGAAACTGCCCGGGCTGTCCAGCTCTCCACTGCTGCCTCTCTGCTGAGCAAGCCAGACAGTGAATGCAACAGGGCCACACTCTGTGCCAGGCACCATCCAGGCTCACAGGGGCAGTGCAGGGCAGCCAGGAGGGACCACCTGGGGCCACAAGCTCTGTCCCACCAAAAGCTGAGAGTCTAGGATCCCTGCCCCCATCCCCAAGGGAAGATGGGCCCCATGAGCAGCTAATGCAGGGAAAGTAAGGCACACAGTGACCCTGACACAGCCTGGGGGCTGGGCCAAAATTCCAGAAGAGCAGTGGGGAGCAGGGCCAGGAAGGGAGGCAGAGGAGGATGGTCTCAGTAGAAGAACCCCCATGCAGAGTGGAGAGACCAGGCAAAGACTGAGAGGGATGAAACAGCCTGAGAGCCTCCAGCAGCCAAGCATGGGGGCAAAGCCAAGGCAGAGAAGGGGGAAGGGGAAGGCCCTGGGAGGGGACCCAAGAGCGTCCCGGTGAGGGCTGACCCAGGGGAGCCCCTGGAAGGACCACACTGGCTGCTGGATTGGGAGCAAGGGCCACAGCTGGGGACAGGGACAGTGCCAGCCACCTCAGGACACTGAAACCCAGTGATGTCGTCGGCAGCCAGGATGGGCAGGAGGGACGGGAGCAGGCAACAAACCACCTTGGCTCAGGCCCAGGACAGGATGGGCATCTGAGCAGAGGCCGACACAATGGGCTGACCTCAATGCAGCTGGACGGACGGTCAGGGCCCCAAGGCCAGAGACAGGGACTCCAGACCCAATGGGGGCAGGGGCATCCAAGGCCAGAAGCTCCTCAGAGCAGGACTGGGCTCCACAGCTGCCCACGAAGACTTAATATGGGAATAGTGCCCTTGCCAACGGCAGACAAAGAATGGCCATTTCAGCAGACTACAGGCCTTAGCAGCCTGCAGATGACTGAGAAAGCCTGTGGCAGGTTTCATGCTGGGAGAGGTGGGGATGTGATGGAGAGATGCAGGAACCTGGGGAAGCAGATGCCAAGAGTGTCCTGGACCAGGGGCTGTGGCAAGCATCCCGCAACTCAAGGACCTTCCCAGTGGACAGAGGCCTGGGGCTGACTGCATCAGAGGAGAACCCAGCACAGGCCCAACACACACATGCCCCCCACCCTGCTGGAGATGTGCTAATTTCCCCCAATTTGTCAGGTGCTCAGCCTCTACACCCAACCCTGGCACCCACCTGTGACATCCAGGTGGAAGGAGACCTTCTGGCCCCCGGCCTCGCAGCTGTACTCCCCGGCGTCTGCCTTGCCCGCCTGCTGCACCACCAGCCTCCGGGTGCAGCCCTTGGCCTCCACACGCACTTTTGAGCTCGAACACAGCTTCTTCCTGTTCTTGTACCACGTTGCCTCCGTCTGGGCCTGGGCCACCTCGCAGCTCAGCGTGGCACTGGCCCCCGCCACGGCCTGCACATCACTGCGTGCCGGCTGCTCCTTGGCAAACACCACCATAGGCTCTGGGGACAAGGAGGAATGCACAGAGGCAAAAACACCATCTCAGGCAGCCCTAGGGAAAGAAGGCCTGGACAGATGGGAAGGGGGACTGGAAAATTCTCCAGGCTCTGTGCTATAGCTGTGCATCAAGTACCCACAATTTATCTATACATTCTCCCACTGATCTGTGCATGTTGTTCCAAGTGGGGACTTTGTGAAAGATTTCTTCCATGCACATATTCCTCTAGGAGAGAAACTGTGGGATCAGGAGGCGTGCACACCTCAACCTTCCTAGAGGATGCCGAGTCTTTCCCACACGACTGAGCAGAGAACGTTCCCACCCACAGCGCAGGAGAGTTCCTGAGGCTCCGTGCTGTTGTCAGCTGTTGGCAATCTGGTAGTTGTACTTCCTGAGCTCTCTTTTGCGTGGTCCTGACGATTTACAGAGTGCAGCACCATTTCTGATCTTTTTTGGCTTTGGGTGGTTTGCCCTTCTGTAGTGTCATCGCAAGGCTTTTGCCCAGTTAGCAGTAGCATTGTCTGTCTTTTCCTTATTCATTTTCAGGAGCTCTTTATATATTTATGTTAGAACTTTGAGAAGTATGGGTGTGTAAATAACTTCTCCGTCTTTGTCACTTGTTTTTTCATCTTTTATGTGCCTTCTGTTGATAGATTTCTTAGTTTTAATACAGGCAAGTATGTCAATTTGTCCCTTGTGATCAATGCATTTATATCCTATTTAAGAAATCTTTTATTACCCTCAGGTCATTAAATAATCTATAGTAGCTGCTAAGAGCTTGCTTTATCTTTCACATTGGAGTCTCTAGCCCACCTGAAGTTGGTGTTTGTGTGTGCTGTGAGGGAGACGTCCATTTTTAGTATAGAGGAATAGATATAAAAATAGAGATATATGTATACAGTTACATGGTATTAGCACAGTTTATGAAAAGACCATCCTTTCTCTATACCACACACTAGCACTACAGAGTTAAAAAACAGAAAAGGGATGGGGGAGTCTGGTTATGTGTGGGGCTGTTTCAGAGCTCACTATTCTGTTCCTTTGTTCTGTGTATTTATCCCTGCATTGAAACCCAGTTGTCTTCACTACTGTAGCTTTATAATAAGTTTGGTATCTTTCAGATGAAATGCTCTCACTTTATGAGTGCTTCGGTTCCACTTGACTCTTGGAATCAACTAGTCAATTTTGACACACTCACAAAAGGACTTTTCTTTGGGTTTTGATTAGGAATGGACATCTTTGTGCCTTCCATGCATATCCCACCATTCATTTAGCACTGTCTCCCTAAAGTATTTAATAATATCCTCCTCAGAAGCCTTAAACATATTTTATTAGACATGGAATTCTCCCATGTCTAATAATACTTGATACTAAAAGTATCAAAAGCATGATACTTTTGATGCTATTATAATTGTCTTAAAATATCCTTTTCTGACTCTTTGTTGCTAGTACATCAACATAGAAGCGTTTTCTGTGTATTTTGTATGTGGCAATCTTCCTTAACTTTCTTACTAACTCTAAAAATTCTTCCTTTTCTACCTTCTGCATTAATAATCTTATCATCGGTGAAGTCCACTTTTGCTTTATCTAAATTTTATTGCTTTATATTCCTCCTTATAGGCTGTACAATGTTGGACACAAGTTCTGATAGTGGAGCCACTTGAAATGCTCCAGTTAAAAAGAAAAGCATTCAAGGTTCCCTATAAGTGTGATGTTTGCTGTGGTTTTTTTTAGCACCCTGTATCAAATTAAGAAACTATCCTTTTATTACTAGTTTATTAAGAAGTTTATTAATATGAATATATGCTACTATATTTCATAAAACTCTTATTCTGAATATGATGTAAAAAATTTATCAAGCACTTTTATTCTGCATTCTTCTAGGTAAAAACATGCTTTTTCTCTTTTAGTTTCTTAACATTATAGATTGTATTGATTTTCCCGATGTTCTGATGTTGAACCACCCTTGCATTCCTGGATTAAGATCTGAGTGTATTGTGCTTTTCATGCATTGCTCCACTCACTTTGCCAATACTTTGTATAGGATTTTGATATTGACATCCATAAAAGATTGGCTTGTAATTTCAATTCTTTATACTTTCTTTGTCAGATTTTGGTATCAATGCTATACGGTAGCTACATAAAATGAGTTAAAAAGGAAACCATAAACAAGACCAAAACACAACCCTCAGCATGGGAGAAAATATTTGCTAATGAAGCAACTGACAAAGGATTAAGCTCCAAAATTTATAAGCAGCTCATGCAGCTCAATATCATAAAAACAAACAACCCAATCCAAACATGGGCAGAAGACCTAAATAGACATTTCTCCAAAGAAGATATACAGATTGCCAACAAACACATGAAAGGATGTTCAACATCACTAATCATTAGAGAAATGCAAATCACAACTACAATGAGGTATCACCTCACACCAGTCAGAATGACCATCATCAAAAAATCTACAAACAATGAATGCTGGAGATGGTGTGGAGAAAAGAGAACCCTCTTGCACTGTTGGTGGGAATGTAAATTGATACAACCACTATGGAGAACAGTATGGAGGACCCTTAAAAACTACAAATAGAACTACCATATGACCCAGCAATCCCACTACTGGGTATATACCTTGAGCAAAGCATAATTCAAAAACAGTCATGTAGGTCTTCCCTGGTGGCGCAGTGGTTGAGAGTCCGCCTGCCGATGCAGGGGACACGGGTTCGTGCCCCGGTCTGGGAAGATCCCACATGCCACAGAGCGGCTGGGCCCGTGAGGTATGGCCGCTGAGCCTGTGTGTCCGGAGCCTGTGCCCCGCAATGGGAGAGGCCACAACAGTGAGAGGCCCGTGTACCCACCCCCCCAAAAAAAGAGTCATGTACTACAGTGTTCATTGCAGCTCTATTTACAATAGACAGGACATGGAAACAACCGAAGTGTCCATCAACAGATGAATGGATAAAGAAGATGTGGCACATATATACAATGGAATATTACTCAGCCACAAAAAGAAACGAAATTGAGTTATTTGTAGTGAGGTGGATGGACCTAGAGTCTGTCATACAGAGTGAAGTAAGTCAGAAAGAGAAAACAAATACCATGTGCTAACACATATATATGGAATCTAAAAAAAAAAAAAAAGGTTCTGAAGAACCTAGGGGCAGGACAGGAATAAAGACACAGACATAGAGAATGGACTTGAGGACATGGGGAGGGGGAAGGGTAAGCTGGGACGAAGTGAGAGAGTGGCATGGACTTATATTTATTACCAAATGGAAAATAGATAGCTAGTGGGAAGCAGCCACATAGCCCAGGGAGATCAGCTCGGTGCTTTGTGACCACCTAGAGGGGTGGGATAGGGAGGATGGGAGGGAGACGCAAGAGGGAGGAGATATGGGGATATATGTATAGGTATGGCTGGTTCACTTTGTTATAAAGCAGAAACTAACACACCATTGTAAAGCAATTATACTCCAATAGAGATGTTAAAAAAAATGATTATCGGCTGTACAACTTGTCTATTTTCCATTGTGTGAGTTTTGCCATAGTTTCTAGGAATTGATCAATTTGTAATCCTCTGTTCTTTGTGAATTTTGTACACACATTGCAACAAAATATGGATCTGTATTTTGCTACATCTGTGTTCAGAGAGCTTACTTATCAATGTGAAAATTGCTGTCCCAGGACACCTGAAACTTTATAACACAAAATTCAGCCATGAAGTAATTCCAAGTATGTGTGACCAACATTTGTTGGTCAATGTGTGACCAACAATGTGTGACCAACAAATGTGTGACCAACATTTTCCCTTATTCTGCTTCAATGAATTGAAACATCTCTTACTAACAGGAACCCTCAAGTGTTCTTGGTAAGGATCTAGATGATCTGCCACAAAAACCCCAGTGGACAGATACCTCGTCTACCTCAGCCCTGTGCAACAGGTAGACCCAGAGTGACAGACACCAAAGACCACCAATGGAGTCTGAACAAGCTAGGAAAATGTGACTAAGGATTATTACATGGAAAACAACCCATGATATTAAAGAACTGCCTCTCTCCCTCCAGGATACACCCAACAATCCATGTTTCCATGAACTTAGATGTAGAAATGTTTTCTGCATATTGACTTCTTTAAACACTAATCTTACTCAAGAATCGTACACAGTCTAAAAATTATTTTGGGGGTTCTCAGAATTGATGATCACATCATCAGCATATTCCAACTTTAGATTCAAGAAAACTTTTGCCAGTGATTTTATGATCCTTCATACTTGACTCAGTGGTTAGAGTGGCCTACGTGTACTGTCACTCACATCAGGGTTTCCAGATACCCATTAACTGGGATGTTGCTGTAGCTGCTATTGTATATGTATTTTATAATATAAAAAAAGAACACTTTTATACAATTTGCTAAGAATATTATCGAAGGAACTGATGCTCCATTTTATCAAATTTTTGCCTCGATATAAGACGTTTAAATTTAATCAAACATTTGATTCTGTGCTCATTGAGATGATCACATTTTTTGCATTCAGTCTCTTAATGTCAAGCCTTATATCTATTAACGTTGCCAACATTCAACCCAAGGTGCAATCCTAGACTATGACTTTCATAACTGATCTCTACCCCCTGCATACATGACTGAATTCCTTTTACTGACATTCACTTTATGATTTGGGCTTTGATAACCACAATAGATACGTCTGGAATTTCACTCATTCTTCCTGCCTTGCTTGTGTAGTTCTGGTATCTATGTTATATTCTTTGCATAAAGAAAGTTCTGGAGTGCACCTCCTTCTTCTGTCTCTAAGATCATCTCCACAAGCATGGAATAACAGTTTTTCAGGATATTTTGTAGACTGTACCGGAGAACTACGAGGTAGTTCTTGAGAATATTTTTCACTATTCTTCCTATTGATTGAAAAGTCAAACAACTCTTTGAGATTTCTATAACTTCTTGTGTCAGTTTTCATACAGCTGGCCAGGATTTAGTCAAATTTCACAACTTTTCAAAGCTTTTATTTAAAAACACTCTCTAATATTCTCCAAATGCCACATTTTACAGAAATGCCCGGTGGGATCTACAGTATCTATACACTCCCATAAATCATCCTATGCTCGCACGTTCTCAGACAGTTATGGGTTGGCACCTAGGAGTCAATGTGGAATGGCAGCCCAGCCCTACTCAGCATTAAGGCTCTCTTCACAGAAGACAAGTAAGCTGATTTCTTAGACTGCTCTATGTTCCAGCCACGAGGCAGAGACACACACTAACCTTTAGGAAAATGCAACGAAATAAAAACTGCTTTGCCACTCAGAGTCTGCTGCTAGTACACTAACTTCTCAATAACAAAGCAGACTGATAGGGCAGAGGCGAATTTTTCCTTTCCGTTCCTAAATTCATCAAAATAACGCCACGGGGAATACCAGCCCACATCATCCAAACAGTTTGAAGACAAAGGCAAAATCCTATTGCATTTAAGAAGATCACCCTAAATAGCACAGGTCACTCTATACCATTCCTCCTTTCTTCCTCCCTTTACAAGGTAGTGACAACAAAACTTGGGCCTATCTTCTGCTACCTAAAGGCAACTGGAGCTTCCCTATCTGGGAAAAGGAAGGAAGGGCATCCCAGAAACATGAATCTGATCGTCAAAAGTTCACTCCTAAGATAATTCCAAGCTGGATTGTGTACCAGTATCTCCACTAATTCGGGATCAAGGAAGTTGAAACCACATCTGACAAACTAAGACCCGGCATGAGCTGCCGGATGAGGACATGTGGTAGGAGCTATGAAAGATATACGATGAGAGGAAAGTCACATATCCCCAGGCGGACCTCAGACGCCATGCATCAGGGAGAGCCAGGGTCCCGATACCAGGAACAACAGGAAGGCTCTAGGCAGGTGCTAAGACACTGTGACTGGGCCTTAATGCATGGAAACAGGTGGACACAAATGGCCCCTCTTACTTCCACACCCACCCTCTCCATCCATCCTCCCCCTGGCAAAAATGGCTATAAACGTGGGATGTGGAAGACTGGGAGGCTACAGGCGAGTGAACACCCATCTGTCAAGCCTCAAGACCATCCCCTCATCACCTCCAAATAGGCTAGCATAGTATCCTCCTCCAGGACTGACCTGTGACATCCAGGTGGAAGGAGACCCGCTGGCCCCCGGCCTCGCAGCTGTACTCCCCGGCGTCTGCCTTGCCCGCCTGCTGCACCACCAGCCGCCGCCCTCGGCCCGTGGCCTCCACACGCACTTTCGAGCTCGAACTCAGCTTCTTTCCATCCTTGTACCACGTCACCTCCGTCTGGGCCTGGGCCACCTCGCAGCTCAGCGTGGCACTGGCCCCCGCCACGGCCTGCACTTCACTGCGTGCCGGCTGCTCCTTGGCAAACACCACCTTGGGCTCTGGGGACAGGGAGGGATACGTGGGTCAAGGACACCGTCTCAGTCAGGAAGGCAACGCCGAGCAAAGAGACCTGAGTGGGGAGCCGTGGACCAGGCAGTTGTGTGGGGTGCGGAGGTGGTGTGGGGGCCAAGCTGGAGACTTCTGCAGGCTCTGCACGAGCCGTGTGCCCTGCCCAGCCTTTCTCAGCGACAAGTAACACAAGTGATGCATTCTCCCCCGGGTCCGCGTGAGCTGGTCCGGGGTGTGGGGGGAGGGTGCGCTTCTGGAAGAGACTTCTCCCCTGCTCATGGCATCTGCGGGCTCACACGCAAGTGTTCCCAAACCTTCCCAGATGGGGCCACAGTCTTTTCCATACGCCTAAGCAGGGAACTTTGCACCTGCAGTCCGTGAAATCACTGAGGCTCGGTGCCCTGGCCTACACTTAGTATGGTCAACTTGTGGCAATCTGGTGGGAGTGCTGGCACCTCCCCGTGAATTTCTTTTCCACTGTCTGAGGTATAAAGAAGCTGAGCACCTTTCCCCGTACACTGGGGTCCCCATTACTCTTTTGTTCTTCCTGGTGACACTATTCAAATTTTTGCCCACTCACCAATAGTAGGCTCTCTCTTCTCTCCATCTCTAGGCACTCTTTATGCATTGAAATACTAGAGAATGACAGATTGCTAGCTTTCATGGCTATTACCAACTGTGGGACTCCCATTTTCACTATGTGATCGAGTCCTCCGATGAATCAAACATTTTCCCTTCAAGAGTGTCACCAATGTCCACTTCAGCCCTTTGAGTTTGGAGCATTTGTGTTCCATTTAAGAAATCTTCCTTTACCTTCGGTCTTTAAAGAAACCACGGTATCACCAGACTGTTTTTTGCTGTGTAACTTTTAACACTAAGGTTTCTAACCCACCCCAAGTGTACTTTTGTATGTGGTGTGAATTGTCAGTACAGTTTAACTTTTCCCTATGGGTAAGTGGTCCAACCACTATTTATGAAGACAACATCCCTCCTTGACCTCTCGAACAAGCAGCACAGTAACAGATGAAATAGTGGCGGTGGGGACAGGGCAGGGAGATGGGCAGAGGGGAGATTTGTCTGTGCTGGTACAGGAAACTACTGCTGCAAGGAGCTCTTGCTGATCTCACTACTACGTTCTTCTGATGCGGTAAATATCGCCGCACTGGGATCCCCTTATCTTGAAAACTATATGGCCTCACGATAATTCTTGACTACGGCTCCCAGGAAGTGCTCCCACCACGCTTCTGCAAGCAAACAGCATATTGGCTGTACCTTGCCTTTCAAATCTGCCTGCTATTCTACCATCCGACCACCCAAAACACAAATTTGGTTCGATATTCATTGTTAATCAACATCTTTGATTTTTCTCCTCAGATTACTGTCTGTCGATGGAAACCTCGGACTCTCTCTCAAGAATGTGTACTAATTTCCCCACATAGTCTCGTAGCAACTTTTATCAGACCTGGAATTAGAAACATGATACAAGTGTGCCATTTTAACTCTTTCACAAACGCCACGGGGAATACTGACCCGCAGCATCCAAACTGTTTGAAGACAAAGGCAAAATCCTATTGCATTTAAGATCACCCTAAACAGCACAGGGGACTCTATTCCAATCCTCCTTTCTTTTTCCCTTTGCAAGATCGTGACAACCAAACTTGGGCCTATCTTCTGCTACCTACAGGCAACCGGAGCTTCCCTAACCAGGAAATTGAAGGAAGGGCATCCCAGAAACCTCAAAGCTGATCATCCAAAGTGCACTCCTAAGATAATTCCAAGTGGGACTGGGTGCCCAACATCTCCACTAATCCGTAATCAATGAAATTGAAACCCCATCTGGCACCCTGAGACCCGGCATGAGCCATGTGGTAGGTGTCAGTTAAGAAGTAGCATGGGAGGAAAGTCGCATATCCCCAGGCCTACCTCAGACCCCACGCATCAGGGAGAGCCAGGGTCCCGATACCAGGAACAACAGGAAGGCTCTAGGCAGGTGCTAAGACACTGTGACTGGGCCTTACCGCATGGAAACAAGTGAACACAAATGGCCCCTCTTCCTTCCACGCCCACCCTCTCCATCCATCCCCCCATGGGCGAAATTGGCTATAAATGTGGGACGTGGAAGACTGGGAGGCTACAGGCGAGTGAACACTCGTCTGTGGAGGCCGCCAGACCGTCCCCTCATCACCTCCAAATAGGCTAGCTTAGTATCCTCCTCCAGGACTGACCTGTGACATCCAGGTGGAAGGAGACCCGCTGGCCCCCGGCCTCGCAGCTGTACTCCCCGGCGTCTGCCTTGCCCGCCTGCTGCACCACCAGCCTCCGGGTGCAGCCCTTGGCCTCCACACGCACTTTTGAGCTCGAACACAGCTTCTTCCTGTTCTTGTACCACGTCGCCTCCGTCTGGGCCTGGGCCACCTCGCAGCTCAGCGTGGCACTGGCCCCCGCCACGGCCTGCACTTCACTGCGTGCCGGCTGCTCCTTGGCAAACACCACCTTGGGCTCTGGGGACAGGGAGGGATACGTGGGTCAAGGACACCGTCTCAGTCAGGAAGGCAACGCCGAGCAAAGAGACCTGAGTGGGGAGCCGTGGACCAGGCAGTTGTGTGGGGTGCGGAGGTGGTGTGGGGGCCAAGCTGGAGACTTCTGCAGGCTCTGCACGAGCCGTGTGCCCTGCCCAGCCTTTCTCAGCGACAAGTAACACAAGTGATGCATTCTCCCCCGGGTCCGCGTGAGCTGATTCGGGGTGTGGGGGGAGGGTGCGCTTCTGGAAGAGACTTCTCCCCTGCTCACGGCATCTGCGGGCTCACACACAAGTGTTCCCAAACCGTCCCTGATGGGGCCACAGTCTTTTCCATACGCCTAAGCAGGGAACTATGCACCTGCAGTCCATGGAAATCACTGAGGCTCGGTGCCCTGGCCTACACTTAGTACGGTCAACTTGTGGCAATCTGGTGGGAGTGCTGGCACCTCCCCATGGCTTTCGTTTCCACTGTCTGAGGAATAAAGGAGCAGAGCACCTTTCCCCGTACACTGGGGTCCCCATTACTCTTTTGTTCTTCCTGGTGACACTATTCAAATTTTTGCCCGCTCACCAATAGTGGGCTCTCTCTTCTCTCCATCCATCTCTAGGCCCTCTGTATGCACAGAAATACTAGAGAATGACAGGTTGCTGGCTTTCAAGGTTATTCCCGACTGTGGGACTCGCATTTTCACTGTGTGATCGAGTCCTCAGATGAATCAAAGTTTTTCCCTTCACTAGTGTCACCGATGTCCATTTCGGCCCTTTGATTTTGGAGCATTTGTGTTCCATTTAAGAAATCTTCCCTTCCCTTCCGTCTTTAAAGAAACCATGGTATCACCGGACCGTGTTTTGGTTTGTACCTTTTAACACTGAGGTTTCTAACACACCACAAGTGTACTTTTGTGTGTGGTGTGAATTGTCAGTACAGTTTAATTTTTCCCTATGGGTAAGTGGTCCAACCACTATTTATGAAGACAACATCCCTCCTCGACTTCTCGAACACACAGCACAGCAACAGATAAAATTGTGGCGGCGTGGAGGGGGCGGGGAGACGGGCGGAGGGGGGATTTGTCCGTGGTGGCGCAGGAAACCACTGCTGCAAGGAGCTGTTGCTGACCTCACTACTACGTTCCTCGGATGCGGTAAATATCGCCGCACTGGGATCCCCTTATCCTGAAAACTATATGGCCTCACAATAATTCTTGACAAAGCCTCCCAGGAAGTGCTCCTACCGCGCTTCTGCAAGCAAACAGCATATTGGCTGTACCTTGCCTTTCAAATCTGCCTGCTATTCTACCATCTGACCACACTAAACACAAATTTGGTTCGATTTTCATTGTTAATCAACATCTTTGATTTTTCTCCTCAGATTACTGTCCGTCATGGAAACCTCGGACTCTCTCTCAAGAATGTGTACTAATTTCCCCACATAGTCTGGTAGCAACGTTTATCAGACCTAGAATTAGAAACATGATACAAGTGTGCCATTTTAACTCTTTCACAAAAGTTTCACTTGCCAAGCGTTTCTCGCCAGGACGTAGCTGTGGAAATGTCTCCTGCATGTTCATTCTCTTACACCCTAATCTTACTCAACAATCGTACACAGCCTAATAATTTATCCAGCGGATTGTCTGAGTTGATGATCACATCATCAGCAAATTCTACCTTGAGTTTTTCTAAACCCTTTGCCAGTGATTTTATTCTCTTGCTGACTCCACTCCGTGGCTACAGAGGCCCTCGTGTGTTCTCCCTCACATCAAAGATTTCCAGGGACACGTTACGAGGGACGCTGCTCTTGCTGTTGGAGGAAGTTTATTATAACGTTACAAAAAGAACACTTTTGTACAGTATGCTAAGAATTATATGGCATGGACTGGTGCTCAGTTTTATCACACTTTTTGCCTGGATTGGGGACGATCAAATTTCATCAACCATTTGATTCTCTACTCGTTCAGAGGACCACATCCTTTTGCATTCAATCTCTTAATGCCAAGCTTTATATCTATTAACTTTGCCAACCTTCAACACAACGTGCAATCCTGGACTAGGACTGTCATCACTGACCCCACCCCGTGGATGCATGGCTAAATTCTTTTCGCTAACAATTCATTTATGATTTTGGCTGTAATATTTGCGATATGTACTTCTGGAATTTCATTCATCCTTCCTGCCTTTCTTCTGCGATTCTGGGATGCATCGATGTTATGCTCCGAACTTAAACAGACTTATGGAGTGCATCTCCTTTTTCTTTCTCTAAGACCATCTCCAGAAGCATGGAATAACAGTTTTTCAGGATATTCTGTAGACTGTACCAGAGATCTACAAGGTAGTTCTTGGGATGATTTTTCATTATTGGTCCAATTGATTGACAAGTCATAGAACTCTTTGAGTTTTCTACATCTTCTTGTGTCAGTTTTCATACACTTGTCAGGGATTTAGTCAAACTTCACAACTTTTCAAAGCTTTTATCTTAGAACACACTCTAATATTCTCTGAAGGCCACATTTTACAGAAATGCCTGGTCGGATCTGGGATATCTATACACTCCCATAACTCATCCTATGGTCTTACGGTCTCAAACAGTTATGGGTTGGCACCTAGGAGTCAATGTGGAATGGCAGCCCAGCCCTACTCAGCATTAAGGCTCTCTTCACAGAAGACGAGTAAGCTGATTTCTTAGACTGCCCTATGTTCCAGCCACGAGGCAGAGACACTCACTAACCTTTAGGAAAATGCAATGAAATAAAGACTGCTTTGCCACTCAGAGTCTGCTGCTAGTACACTAACTCCTCATTAGCAAAGCAGACTGATGGAGCAGTAGCGACTTTTTCCTTTCTGTTCCTAAATTCATCAGTATAACGCCACGGGGAATACTGACCCGCAGCATCCAAACAGTTTGAAGACAAAGGCAAAATCCTATTGCATTTAAAATCACCCTAAACAGCACAGGGGACTCTATTCCAATCATCCTTTCTTTCTCCCTTTGTAAGATCGTGACAACAAATGTCGCCTATCTTCTGCTACCTACAGGCAACCAGAGCTTCACTCTCCAGGAAATTGAAGGAAGGGCGTCCCAGAAACCTCAAAGCTGATCATCCAAAGTTCACTCCTAAGATAATTCCAAGCGGGACTGTGTGGACAATATCTCCACTAATCCGCGATCAATGAAATTGAAACCCCATCTGGCACCCCGAGACCTGGCATGAGCCATGTGGTAGGTGTCAGTTAAGAAGTAGCATGGGAGGAAAGTCGCATATCCCCAGGCCTACCTCAGACCCCACGCATCAGGGAGAGCCAGGGTCCCGATACCAGGAACAACAGGAAGGCTCTGGGCAGGTGCTAAGACACTGTGCCTGGGCCTTACCGCATGGAAACAAGTGAACACAAATGGCCCCTCTTCCTTCCACGCCCACCCTCTCCATCCATCCCCCCATGGGCGAAATTGGCTATAAATGTGGGACGTGGAAGACTGGGAGGCTACAGGCGAGTGAACACTCGTCTGTGGAGGCCGCCAGACCGTCCCCTCATCACCTCCAAATAGGCTAGCTTAGTATCCTCCTCCAGGACTGACCTGTGACATCCAGGTGGAAGGAGACCCGCTGGCCCCCGGCCTCGCAGCTGTACTCCCCGGCGTCTGCCTTGCCCGCCTGCTGCACCACCAGCCGCCGCCCTCGGCCCGTGGCCTCCACACGCACTTTCGAGCTCGAACTCAGCTTCTTTCCATCCTTGTACCACGTCACCTCCGTCTGGGCCTGGGCCACCTCGCAGCTCAGCGTGGCACTGGCCCCCGCCACGGCCTGCACTTCACTGCGTGCCGGCTGCTCCTTGGCAAACACCACCTTGGGCTCTGGGGACAGGGAGGGATACACGGGTCAAGGACACCATCTCAGTCATGAAGGCAGCCCTGGGCAAAAGAGACCTGAGTGGCGAGCCGAGGGCCAGGCGGTTGCGAGGGGTGTGGAGGTGGGGCGGGGGCCAAGCTGGAGACTTCTCCAGGCTCTGCACCAGCCGTGTGCCCCGCAGAAGTTCCCCTGCCTTCCTCAGCGACAAGTAACACAAGTGATGCATTCTCCCCTGGGTCCGCGTGAGCTGGTCCGGGGTGTGGGGGGAGGGTGCGCTTCTGGAAGAGACTTCTCCCCTGCTCATGGCATCTGCGGGCTCACACGCAAGTGTTCCCAAACCTTCCCAGATGGGGCCACAGTCTTTTCCATACACCTAAGCAGGGAACTTTGCACCTGCAGTCCATGGAAATCAGTGAGGCTCAGTGCCCTGCCCTACATTTAGTATGGTCAACTTGTGGCAACCTCGGGGGAGTGCTGGCACCTCCCCGTGGCTTTCCTTTCCATTGTCTGAGGAATAAAGAAGCTGAACACCTTTCCCCGAATGCCTGGGGTCCCCATTACTCTTTTGTTTTTCCTGGTGACACTATTCAAATTTTTGCCCACTCACCAATAGTAGACTCTCTCTTCTCTCCATCTCTAGGCCCTCTTTATGCACTGAAATACTAGAGAATGACAGGTTGCTGGCTTTCAAGGTTATTCCCAACTGTGGGACTCACATTTTCACTGTGTGATCAAGTCCTCCGATGAATCAAAATTTTTCCCTTCAATGCTTTCAGCGATGTCCATTTCAGCCCTTTCAGTTTAGAGCATTTGTGTTTTATTTAGAAATGTTTCCTTACCTAAGTCTTTAAAGGAACCACGGTATCATCGGTGGGTTTTTTCGTTTTTACCTTTAGACAGGGTGTCTACCCCACCACGCGTTCACTTTTCTGTGTTGTGGGATTTGCTAGTACAATTTAAGTTTTTCGCATTGTTACGTGGTACAAGCCTCTGAGGGGGATACTCTGATAAACTTCCTCTTTGCACAATTCTTCTAGGACAGAAACTGTGGGGTCATTATGGGTGCATATTCCTCATCCCTCCTAGATGAGGCCAGAGTCTTTTCTCACAGGAATGTGCAGGGCGTGTTCTCTTCTGCAGTGAATGAGATATGCTGAAGTTCTACCCTCACCTACTCTCACTGTCGGCAGTCTGGTGGGAGTGAAATGTACCTCCTGTGGCACTCTTTTGCATTTTTTGTGATGATTCAAAGTAAAGACCCATTTCTGATGTTTTTGGTCATCAGTGTTTGCTCTCCTGTGGTGTCACTGTTCAACGTTTTTGCCCTACTTTCAATAGCACTGTCTGCCATTTGTGTGTTCACTTTAAGGACATTTTTATACATACGAATGCTAGGCATTGACAAGTGTGTGTGTTCTAAATGTCTCCCACATCTGTGTGGTTTGCCTTTTCAGTACTTCATGCTATCTTCTGATAATCTATCAATACATATTTAGTTTTAAGGTAGTCAAATTTTTTTCATTATGGTTAGTGCACTTGTATTTTAATAAGTCATTCTTTGGGACTTCCCTGGTGGTATAGTGGTTAAGAATCTGCCTGCCAATGCAGGGGACACAGGTTCGAACCCTGGTCCAGGAAGATCCCACATGCCGCGAAGCAACTAAGCCCGTGCACCACAACTGCTGAGCCTGCTTTCTAGAGCCCGTGAGCCACAACTACTGAGCCTGCGAGCCACAACTACTGAAGCCTGCGCACCTAGAGCCCATGCTAAACAACAAGAGAAGCTACTGCAGTGAGAAGCCCGCACACCACAGTGAAGAGTAGCCCCAGCTCGCCACAACTAGAGAAAGCCCACATGGAGCAACGAAGCCAAAAATAATAAAGAAAATTTTTCTTAATTATTTATTAAAAAAAAAGAAAGAAATCATTCTTTAGTCTGAGGTAATTAAAACCATCTATGTTATCATCTAAGAGTTTTGTGATTTTCCCTTCTATTCTGTGGTGTTTAACCCAACATGAGTTGACCATGGGGGATATGAATTACTGGCCTAATGGTTTTTCTATATGGTTAAATGGTTTAAGTGTCATTTATTAAAACCATGTTGTCTCTACTCCTTGCATGAGTCCACATTTAAAAAAAAAAAAAAAAAGGAGCAAGGGAATGTGGGCATCCATTCATGTGCAGATTTGTATCGGAGATCACTATTCTGGCCCTTTGGTCTGTGTATCTATCCTTGCAACGAGACACTGTTGTATTCATTACTGTAGCTTTATAACAATCTTGATATTGGTGTAGCAAATAACTCACTTTTTTCTCTTCTCCAATAGTGTATTGACTGTACATGGTCTTAGCAATTTACTTCCGAATTTCCAAAATCCCCACTAAACAAACATTTATTTGGATTTTAATTGGTATTAAACATGTTTTATTCTTCCCTGGATTTCTACCTAACTCTTTAGAACTTCTTGACTGTCTCTCAAAACATTTTTAATAATTCCCCCACGCACACAGAGCCTCTCACCACCCTTTATTAGACTTGGAATTAGAAAATGATTCTTTTGATGCTATTGTAATTCTTTGAAAATTTTCATTTTCCAGATGTTTGTTGTTACTATGTAGCCATAGAAGTGTTTTCTTCATACTGATTTTTTTACATGGTAATCATTCTCAACTATCTTATTAAGTCTCATACTTTATCCTTTGGATTAATCATATTATCCATGAATTCAACTTTTGTTTCTTCACACGTTTATGTCTTTTACTTTCTTTTCCTCCTATCTCTGTTGTACAATGTTGGTTAAAAGCAGTTAACAGTTGGCTTCCTTGTCTGGTTCGCTGTCTCACAGACAAACTTTCAAACTTTCACTTTTTTGTGTGCAGTTAGCTGGTTTGTCTGCAGCATCATTTATCAGATTATGAACTGTTTTATTTATAATTCGTTAAGAATTTTATGTCATGAATTGATGCCAACTTTATTAAACTTTTCTTCTGTATGTATAATGCCACATCTTACCAAATACTTTATTCTGCATGTCATGAACAGATTGCTTTGCTAATATTTCCAGTGTTTGAACAGCCTTGCATTTCTGGACTATGACTTTTATCACAGTGTATTACCAATTTTCGTCTTAATATATTGTTACATTTATTTTGATAATATTTTGTTTCAGATATCGGCCTTGATATCCATAACAGGTTGGTCTGTAATTTTAATTCTTACAATTTTTTTTGTCAGATATTGGTATCAGTGTTATGCTGTCTACATGAAACAAATCAGAGACTATTTATCTCCTTTTTCTATTCTCTAGAAGAATATCCATGAACATGGATTTTCTTTCCAAAGTATTTCATATAATTTAACAGTGGAACTACTGGGCTTAGATCTTTCTCTATGAGAAGATTTATCATTATGGTTCCAATTATTTAAAAGATTATAGGACTGGGCTTCCCTGGTGGCGCAGTGGTTAAGAGTCCGCCTGCCAATGCAGGGGACACGGGTTCGTGCCCCGGTCTGGGAAGATCCCACATGCCGCGGAGCGGCTAGGCCCATGAGCCATGGCCACTGAGCCTGCGCGTCCGGAGCCTGTGCTCCGCAACGGGAGAGGCCACAGCAGTGAGAGGCCCGCATACCACAAAAAAACAAACAACAAAAAAAAAGATTATAGGACTACTTGGGTTGTTGAATGTTTCTTGTGTCACTTTTTATATAGTTTTCTAAGAATCTGATCAATTTGTCAAACCTTTCACATTTATTGCCATGAAAAACTATTGTCATATTCTTCTAAAATACCATTCTTAAAAGATACATACATGTTGGTATAGGAGAAGCTACTATTCCTCTCCAAGTCTAAATCTATAAATCAGACTCCATGGGGAATTCTGACATAGAATGTTCTAACAGAAAACAAAAGGAAATCAGTATTTGCTTTGAAAAGAGAATTCCAGACCTCACATGTGCATATCTCAGGCACGTATCAACCAACCCTTTGGTCTCTGTTTACTTTGCACACATATTGCAAGAAAACTGGATCTAGATTTTGTTACATGTAGATGCACAGGTAACTTCTATTCCATGTGCAAAGGAAGAAAGAGTGTTCAGAACACCTAAAACTTTGATAATCCATAGTTCAGTCTTGAGATAAATCCAAGTATGGCTGTGTGGCAGAAATTTCCCCTTGTCCTGGCTTAATGAAATTCAAACATCTCTCCCTAGTGTGAACCCACATGCGTTGCTAGGTGACGGCGTCTAGGAGCTGTCAGGACATCCAGGAGGAGCAAATTCACATACCCACAGTTAAAAGACATCTGGTCTACCTCAGACCCCAAGTGCAAGACAGAACCAGAGTCCCAGACACCAAGGAATACCCAGAAGGTTCTGGGCAGATGCTGGGAACTGAAGACTGTGCATTACTGTGTGGAAACACCACTCAGGGTTTATAGGAACACCATTATCCCTTATGCTCACAGCCTGCCCATCCAGCCTCCCTTGGTCCAGCCATGGGCATGAAAATGGGAGGTGGGAGGATGGAAGGCTAAAAGAGATGAAGTCTAGTGGGAAGATCATCGGGTCTGTTGGGGGATGCAAGCCAGTCCCACCACCTCCACATAAGGCTAAGTTACTACCTCCAAGGACTTACCTGTGACATCCAGGTGGAAGGAGACCTTCTGGCCCCTGGCCTCGCAGCTGTACTCCCCGGCGTCTGCCTTGCCCACCTTCTGCACCACCAGCCTCCGGGTGCAGCCCTTGGCCTCCACATGCACTTTGGAGCTCGAATTCAGCTTCTTCCTGTTCTTGTACCACATCACCTCCATTTGGGCCTGGGCCACCTCGCAGCTCAGTGTGGTGCTGGCCCCCACCATGGCCTGAACCTCTTTATGTGCTGGCTGCCCCTTGATAAACACCGCAGAGGACTCTGGGCATAGAAAGGGATACACAGTGTCAGAGACACAAAGCTGGAACCAGCCTGTGAGACCAAAACTTAAGAGTTCAGTAAATTTTCTTCTTGGAGCCAGTGATGCCATGTGCCCAGGAAGGTGTAGAGTTGTGTTTACAAACATATATCTCAAGTGTACATTTTGGTGATGTTCTGACACAAGGTCAATTCCTAAGGCTGGAGGAAAGTGGCCAAAGTTATTCTAGCATCTGTCACAGCTAGTTCATTGTCTTTCCCATGTGACAGTCACCTCTGGCAGGCAGGTTGGGTTATGTGCACTTGTATCCCCTATATGTATAAATACATATAGGATCTCAGAGACTCCATGCTGTAGATGCATTCATTCATTCATTCATTCAATCACTGATGCAACTAATGTCAATGGAGGGCCCATTATCTGCAGGCACTATGGTGGTGCTGGGAATGCTACACCATAGCTGAAAACGTGAGTAACACAGTCTCTGTTCTTACAGATCTTACCTTCTACTGCGGAAAAACAAACAAACATACAAACCTGACAATGATTTAATGCTATGGTCAATGCTGTGATGAAATAAGACAGAGTAATGTGCTAGAGAGAAGGGACTGACAGTGACTTAGATTTGGTGGTCAGAGAAAATCTTGCTAAGGAGTAATGTTTAGGTGAAGTGCTAAATGATAAAAGGGAGGCAGCTTTGATGAAAGCTAAGGGGAGTCATTCTAACAGAGATGAGAGCTAGGGCCAGGGCTCTCCTAGAAGGATAGACGTGAAGTCAGTGAGAAAGGTAAAAGGGAACTGCACTTTTGGAACCACCCTGGGCATCTGACTTTCTCCTCTGGACACTGCTGCTCCTTAGTACAGCATGACACTAAAAGGCATAGGGCTGCTACTGTGAAACAGGAAAACTGGTCATGCTATGTACACCTTGTGTGAGCAGAGAGATAAAGTTAGAGATTGAGGAGCCACGCCTCCAGGAAAAAGAGATCTTGTAGAATTGAGCCCCACACTCAGCCACATTCCCCTCAAGATGTTTGATGAGCTCCACAACTGCATGGCCCAGGAGACTACGAAGCCAAGCAGAAAACCTCTGAAAACTATAGCAGACATTTTGGCACCTTGCATTACCATAGAGACAAAGATTAGAGTTGAGTGTCTGCCTGAAAAGAGACCCCCATCCATACCCCAAGTCTCTGCAGAAATCCTTGGAGGACTATGCCCAGGAATGGGGGCAAACCAGAGATAGATGACCCTGATCAAAACTGTAATGCAGCCTTGAGTCAGTGCAGTCCTTGAATAGACTAAAGTTCTTAGTTGTTCTCTCGCTCCCTAGCAAAGGAAATACTGATCCTCTGTCTGAAGTAAGATAACATCATCCATATTCAAAAAGTTTTCTCAATGTCTGACAGTCAACTGAAAATTCACTGGCATGCCAAGGACAAGAGTGAATAGAAATCCAAAAAAAAAGCAATATCAGATGATCAGACTAGGATATAACCATGATAATATTTCTTTAATGTGAAAGAACAGAAAATATATCAAATACAAAAATTTTACTACAGAGTCTAGAATCTATAGAATCTATAAGAAATTAAACAAATGGAAATTATGAAACTGGAAAATACAATAACTGAAAGTAAACACACTATAAATGGGTTTGACAACAGATTAGATATAGAAGAATAGAAAATTAGTGGATTGGAACACAGATCTAAAGAAAATATCCCGACTAAAGCAGAGAGAGAAAAAGAATTAAGAGGTGGAGAGAAAGAGAGATACATATGAGACATGTGAGAAACCACACTCTATGGTTGAGGAAAGACAAAAATCCACAGACTCAAAATGCTCTGCAACCCTAACCAGGATGAATACAAAGAAAATCACACCTAGGTTCATCAATGTAAACTGCTCAAAATCAAAAACAATACCTTAAAAACAACAGGAAAAGAAAAAAATGACCCTTGAGGGAACATAACATATATGAGAGTTGATATTCCAAAAAAATACATGGAATCTGGAAGACAGTGGAATAGTCTCTTTAAAAAAAATTTTTAATATGGGCAGGGGATTGTTAAACTGTAATTTGATAACTAGAGAAAATAGCCCTCAGAATATTGGGCCTAAATCCTGGCTCTGTAATTCTCTGGCTATGTGAACTTTGGCAAGTTATGGAATTTCCTTGTGCCTTATCTTAGAATGGGAATAATCAGAATTCCTCTTCCCGAGGTGGTTGTGAAGTTTATACAAGTAAAAAGACAAGAAGCACTTCATAAAATCTGGCCCTTGGCATGTAATTAATACCCGCTAGCTGCTATGTGGTAAGTTTTGTGAGAAAACACACTTTTAGGTGGCATGACCACACATCCCTACTCCCTAATAATTAAGCTGAGGAACATAAGAAGGACCTCAAGGAACCCACCTGTGATGTTGAGGTGGAAGAAGATCTTCCAGCTCCTGGCCTCTCAGCTGTACTCCCCCAGCATCTACCTTGCCTACCTGCTGCACCACCAGCCTCGGGGTGCAGCCCTTCCTTGGCCTCCACACACACTTTTGAGCTTGAACTCAGTTTCTTTCCCTCCTTGAACCATATCACCTCTGTCTGGGCCTGGCTACCTCACAGCTTAGCATGGTGCTCGTCCCCACCTCATCCTGCACTTCCTTGCATGCTGGATGCTCCTTGGCAAATATCAGCGTGGCCTCTGGGGACAGGGAGGAAGATGAGACAATCAAATTTCTAGAATTGGATGAGGGCCCACCTTCTGGATCTCAAAACCATGATGCCTTGGCCACAAGCCAGTCCTATTCCTAGCTTTCTCAACACAGAGAACTTCACACTCAGAAGATGTACAAAACAGGGAACAGGTTAGTTCTCAGAATCTGAAGGCTCCCAGTTCAATAATTTTCACATTGGTATATGTTACAGTTCAGGCTCTGGCACCTACTTAGCACATGTGATCTCATAATTACCCTAACAAAGAGAGGCATAATTTGTGGATGGCATATCACAGCATTGGTATTTTCAGGGAGAATTTCTTATACCATGTCACCAAGAACAGGCAATACCCCTGAGTCACAGGAACATTAATATGTTAATGCAGTCTACAACTTCTAGCAGGCCAGTCACCATTCGTGTAATCAAATCCTTGGCCTTGGGAATCAGATGCTGCTTTTTATTAACTTACTGTATTTGCTTGACATCACATTACTCTAGAACAGAGGTCCCCAACCCCTGGGTCACAAACCAGTACCAATCCACAGCCTGTTAGGAACTGGGCCTCACAGCAGGAGGTGAGCAGTGGGTGAGCAAGCGAAGCATCATCTGCTGCTCCCCATTGCTTCCCATTGCTCCCCACACTCACATTACCACCTGAACCATCCCATTGCTTGCATTACCAACTGAACCATCACTTGCATTACCACCTGAACCACCTCCCCCATAGCTCGCATTACTGCTTGAACCATCCTCCCTCCCTGGTCCGTGGAAAAATTGTCTTCCACAGAACTGGTCCCTGGTGCAAAAAAGGTTGGGAACCACTGCTCTAGAGCCCATTCTACTACTCTAGACTTGATTTTCTTCTTTATAAAGTATATTCATTGGTAATTCTTTCAGTGAGATTTTATGAATGATAAATTCTCTCTGAAAATGTCTGTATTTCACCTTAACTTTTGAATGATAGTTTAGCTGGATACAGAATTCTAGATCAACAGTTATTTTCCCTCAGTGCTTTGGAGACTATACCTTCTTTTCTGTGCTCTTCATTGCTGTTGAAAAATCTACAGGAAGAATAACTATCATCCCATTAATCTTTTTTCCCGTTGGAGGTTAAGATCTCCTCTTGGTTTTTGGCCTTCTGGATTCACTAGCTGTGACTTTTTTTTTTTTACAATTCCCATTATTTCTTATGAATTTTGAAGTTTAGGATTCATGTCTTTTACCATTTCTAAAATTTCTCCACATTATTTCTTTCATTATTTCATCTTTCTCATTATCTCTAGTCTCTCCTAGAAGTCCTTTTAGACATACGTGTGGCCTTCTACTTCTCTTCTCTATGTCTGTCATTATCTCTTATTTTTTACCTCTTTGTAATTCATCCTGAGTAATTTCCTCAGATCTATCTTCCAATTCAATAATTCTATCTTCAGCTATGTCTAATTTGCTGTTTATCCCTCCACTGAATTGTTATTACAAAAGTTGTGTTTCTTATTCAAGAAGTTTCATTTGGTTCTTTAAATCTGCCTGTTCCTTTTCCTAGTATTTCACTTTTTCTTACATTTTCTAGTCTTCCATACATCTCTTTAATCATTTTAAGTAGACTTATTTGACATACTCTTTCAGATTGTTTTTCTATCATCTGAAGTTCCTGGGTGGAACTTCTGATCTTCTAATCTTGCTCTTGTTTGTAAGTTCCAACTCTCATTTATATTGGATCATTCTTCTGGTGCTTAGCTAATTCCTTTTATTTCTTATATGACTTAAAATACAAATGCATAAACAATAATTATAAAACTATAAAGTTAACGGACACACTATGTATAAAGACATAACTTGTGACATTAACAACATTTAGCTTTGGGAACAACCTGTAAAGAAGCAGAGTTTTTCTATTGAAACTAAGATGATATAATTTCAAACTTGATTATTACAAAGTTAGATGTTAATGACAATCCCCAGGGTAATCACTAAGAAAAAAATGAATGTACATATACATAAAGAAATGAGAAAGTAACAAAAATGGCACACTAGAAAAAATAAATTAATCATAAATGACAATAATGGAGAAAGTAATGGCAAAAAGATATGACATATAAGAAACAAAGAGTAAAATAGCAGAAGGAAACACTTCCTTATAAGAATTAACTTAATACAAAATGAATTTTTAAAATGCTGTCTACAGGAGATTCACTTTAGATCCAAAGATACAAATAGGTTGAAAGTGAAAAGATACTCCATACAAATAGCAATCAATAGAGACCTGAGGTGGCTATACTAATGTCAAACAAAAGGAAAAAAACATTACAAGACATTATATTTAATATATACAGATATAGATTAAGGATGTTATATATTGATTAAAAGGGTCAATTCATCAAGAAGATATCACAACTATAAACATAAGCACAACTAACAGAAGAGCTCCAAAATATATGAAACGAAAACTAAAAGATTAAAGGGAGAAATAGACAGTTCTCCAAGAGTAGAGACTTCAGTACCCTACTTTCAATAATGGATAGAACAACCAGACAGATCAATAAGGAAATAGGACATGAATAACACTATACAAGAAACTAGACCTAACTGACTTACAGAGGACACTTCACCCAACAGCAACAGAAGACACATTTTTTTTTTTTTTTTTTTTGCGGTACGCGGGCCTCTCACTGTTGTGGCCTCTCCCATTGCGGAGCACAGGCTCCGGATGCGCAGGCTCAGCGGCCATGGCCCACGGGCCCAGCCGCTCTGCGGCATGTGGGATCTTCCCGGACTGGGGCACGAACCCGTGTCCCCTGCATCGGCAGGCGGACTCTCAACCACTGCGCCACCAGGGAAGCCCTTTTTTTCTTTCTTTTTTTTTTTTAGAAGACACATTTTACTCAAGCACATATGGAACATCCTCTAACACAGACCACATGTTAGGCCATAAAACAAGTCTCAATAAATCTAAAAAGACTGAAAGCATACAAAGAATCTTTCTGACTACGATGGAATGAAACTAGACAGCAATACTAGAAAGAAAACTGGAAAATTCAAAAGTGTGTCAAAATTAAACAACACACGCAAAGGAGAATTACAAGGAAAATTAGAAAATATTTTGAGATAAATGAAAATGAAAACACAGCATACCAAAACTTATGAGGTGCAGTGAAAGCAGTGTTCAGTTCCCTGCCAACCATAGCTATAAGTTATAGGCCTATCTTAAAAAGATCACAAATCAATAACCTAACTTCATACCTTAAGAAATGAGAAAAAAGATTAAGTTAAACCCAAACTTGGAAAAATGAAGAAAATAAAGATTAGAGCATAGATAAGTGAAATGGAGAATACAAAAGCAATAGAAAGAATCAAGGAAACCAAAAGGTGGTTCTTTGAAAAGATCAAGAAAATTGACAAAATATTAGCTAGACTGACCAAGAAAAAAGATAGAAGACTCAAATTATTAAAATTAGGGAAAAAAAACTGGGGACATCAATAAAGACCTTACAAAAATAGAAAAGATTAAAAGAGAATACTATGAACAACTGCACACCAACTAGATAACCTAGATGAAATGGAGAGATTCCTAGAAACACATAAACTATCAAAACTAACACAAGAATAAATGGAAAAACATCTGAATAGAACTATAACAAGTAAAGAGGTTTAATCAGTAATCAAAAACAAAATGAGAGGCATCCAGACTGGAAATGAAGTAAAACTACCTGCAGATGACATAATTTGTATATAGAAAATCCTAAGGCATCCACAAAAGAACTAACAGAGTGAATAAATGAATTCAGAGAAGCTGCAGGATACTAGACCAATATACAAAAATCAATTCTATTTCCATACATTAGGAATGAACAATTTTATAATGAAATTAACAAAACAATTCCATTTACAGTAGCATCAAAAGAATAAAATACTTAGCAACGAACTTAACAAAATAAGTGCAATTCCTGCACACTAAAAACTATAAAACATAATTGAAAGAAATTTAAAAGACCAAAATAAATAGAAAGTCATCTCATATTGTGGATTAGGAGACTAACACTGTTAAGATGGCAAAGGGGACTTCCCTGGTGGTCCAGTGGTTAAGACTCTGCGCTTCCACCACAGGGGGCACGGGTGTGATCCCTGGTCAGGGAACTAAGATCCCGCATGCCACACGGCGCAGCCAAAAAATAAAATTAAAAAAGAAATCTGGAGCTTCCCTGGTGGTGCAGTGGTTGAGAGTCCACCTGCCGATGCAGGGGATGTGGGTTCGTGCCCCAGTCTGGGAGGATCCCACATGCCTCGGAGTGGCTGGGCCCGTGAGCCATGGCCGCTGAGCCTGCGTGTCTGGAGCCTGTGCTCCGCAACGGGAGGGAGGGGCCACAACAGTGAAAGGCCCGCGTACTGAAAAAAAATAAAAAAGAAAGAAATCTGATACCAGTCATTTGGGTACATCCCTGGTGGTGCAGTGGTTAAGAATCTGCCTGCCAGTGCCGGGGACATGGGTTCAATCCCTGGTCCGAGAAGATCCCACTTCAGCACCACAACTACTGAAGCCTGCATGGCTACAGCCCGTGCTCTGCAACAAGAGAAGCCACTGCAATGAGAGGCCTGCGCACCCCAACGAAGGGTAGCCCCCACTCGCCACAACTAGAGAAAGCCCACGTGCAGCAACAAAAACCCAACGCAGCCAAAAATAAATAAATAAATTTTTAAAATAAAATAAAAAGATGGCAATATTCCCCAAATTGACCTACACATTTTGATGCAATCCCAATCAAAATACCAGCTGCCTTTTTTGCAAAACTTAAAAAGATGATCCTAAAATTCATGTGGAAATGCAAGGGACCTCAAATAGCCAAATCAATGTTGAAAAAACAGCTAAAGAATTCACATTCCCTATTTCAAAACATACCACAAAGCTACAATAATCAAGACTGTGGTAGACATATATATCAATGGAATAAAATTGAGAGTCCAGAAGTAAATACTTAATTAATGGTTAACTGACTTTCAACAAGGATGCCAAGGAAATTCAATGGGGAAAAATTCTTTTCAACAAATGGTGCTGGGACGACTGGATATCCAATGGAAAGGATGAAGTTGGACCCCCAACTCACACCATACACAAAAATTGTCACAAAATGGATCAAAGACCTAAATACAAGGGCTAAAACTGGAAAACTCTTAGAAGAAAACATAGGTGTCAGTCTATTTGACCTTGGATTGGGCAACGATTTCTTAGATGTGACACCTAACAGACAAGCAACCAAAGAAGATAAACTAGATTTCATCACAATTTTCAAACTTTTGTGCATCAAAGGGCACAATTAAGAAAGTGAATGGAAGAAACTATTTGCAAATCATATATCTCATAAGGCTATACTATACTATATATAGGATAAGGCTATACGATCCAGAATATATGAAGAACTCTTTCAACTGAGTAATAAAAAGATAAATAATTAAAAAACAAGCAAAGGATCTGAAGAGACATTTCTCCAAAGAAGATACACAAATGGCCAAATACATATGAAAATATGCTCAACATCATTAGTCATCAGGGAAATACAAATCAAAACCACAATAAGATACTACCTCACATCCACCAGGATGGCTATAATCTGGTGGTCCCAGGCATCCCTGGGTTTGTGACTGCATCACCCCAATCTCTGCCTCCATTGTCACTGGCCATGTCCCCGTGTATCTGTATCGTGAATATCCCTCTTCTCTCTCTCAAAGGACACCTGTCATTGGAGTCAGGGCCCACCCTAATCCAGGGTCATCTCATCCTGTGATCCTTTGCTTGATGTTGTGTGCAAAGACCCCATTTCCAGTTAAGGCCACATTCTGAGTTTCCAGACAGACTTCAGGGGGACACGACACTGATGACTTGCCTAAGGTCACCTGTCTCTTAAGAGGCAGGAGTGAGGTCTGACCATGTCCACTCTGATCCCTCCACAGCCTGCCTCGAAGTCAGTGTCCAAAACCAGGGCACAGCCACCCTGATGTGGGCATGGGCCAGTGCTGCAGGACAGATCCCTCAGCAGAACCAGGCCAGCCACACCACCAGACGCCCACCTCTACCACCCTCAATGTTCCACTGCTGAAGCTGGAAGATTAGGACTCACTTTCCCAGGTGCCTGAGCAAGGCATGGCCATCGGACCCACCCAGTACTGGGAGGCATAGGGAAAATCTGCTGTGGGCTCCTCAGAGAGCATCTGTTCTCTGAATAGAAGAAAGAGCAGGTGACACCCTGTGCTAGGTAGGACTGCCTCAAGATCCGTGCACCACAGTATGCATGCACCTTCTCCAAGCTATTCCACCAAACACTAATCCAGGCACTGCTGTGAAGGGATTCTGCAGAAGGAATGTAGGTCGCAGATCAGTTGACTATGAGTTCATTAACAAGGAGATTATCCTGGTTGGGCCTGACCTAACCAGGTGAGACCTTAGAAGGGAGGGGGTTCTTCCTGGCCAAAGAGATTTGAAGCATAAGAGCAAATGGACATGAGGGGCCATGTGGCAAAGGACCTAAGAGCAGCCCCTGGCTGCCAGCCAGCCAGGAAATAGCCTTAGACCCAGAACCACAAGGAAACGAATTCTGCCAGCAACTTGGATGAGCTTGGAAAAGGGCCCTGAGAGAACTCAGCCACATGGCATATGGATTCCAGCCCTTGAGACCCTGAAAAGAGAATCCAGAATCCACATCTTGAATTCTGATCTATAGAACTGTGAACTAACAGATGGGCATTATTTTAAGCCACTGAGTTTGTGATAATTTACTGCACAGCAGTGAAAAGGAAAAAAACAAACACACACACAATCCTTACATGTTCTTCCCACCTTGAACATGATGGCTGGAGCTAGGGAAGCCATCTTGTGACCATGAGGCAATAAGCTTTAGAAAGATCTTTATCTTATGCTCAAGAAAGCAAAGATCTAGACGGATAGAGCCTGTGTCCTTGTGGTAGATTGTTAGAAATTGTCCCCAATTAACCAGGGGACTCCTCATCAACAGTGAAGTCTACTTCTCCAACTCCTTGGAACTAGGCTGGCCTTATGTCTGGCTTTGTGCAATAAAACACAGAGAATGTAATATTCTGGGACTGGTGAAAACAAATCTTAACAAACCCTGTAGCATCTCCTAATCCCTAAAGGGAACCCAGCCAGAATATGAAGGAGCTCAGGCTACCCACATGGAGAAAGAGGCCTTGAGAATGAGATGTCACAAGGAGACCATAGCCCCAGAGGAGAGAACAGGATGGTCCCAGACAGGAATGAGCCCAGACAACATCACTAGAAGAGAGAGGTCTGCCATCACAGCCAGCCCCCTGACTGGGACATCAGACACACAAATGAGGCCAGACTGGATCCTCCTGTCCCAGTCAACACCATGTGGAGCAGAGATGAGCCATCCACGCTGAGCACCGCTTGAATTCCTGCCCACAGATTGTTCCATTGGGCCACTAAGTTCTGGGGTTATTTGTATAACTGATACGGGCCTGATGAGTCAGCTGAGCACTGCCGTCACCCGCACTGAAAACAGGCCTGGTTCCTCCAGGCCTGCTCCTATGAAATGGTCAACTGACCTGTGACACCCAGGCGGAAGGAGACCTTCTGCCCCTGGCCTCACAGCTGTACTCCCCAGCGTCCCTATTCCCCACCTGCTGCACCACCAGCTGCCGGCTGCAGCCCTTGGCCTCCATGCACACTTTTGAGCTCACACTCAGCTTCTTCTCATCCTTGTACCATGTCACCTCCATCTGGGCCAGGGCTACCTCACAGCTCAGTGTGGCACTGGCCCCCACCTCGGCCTGTACCTCCCTGAGTGCTGGCTGCTCCTTGGCAGCATCGCTGAGGGCTCTGGCAACAGGGAGGGATACACAGCACAGGCTCTGCCAAGGTGAGGTTTCCCAAGTCCTGGAGCCATGACAGAGCTTTGCTCTAGACCCCAGGCGGCCACAGATCCCCCCCATGAGGATCCTTTGTGATCAGGTGCTGCACATGGAACCCTCCATGGGCACAGGTGGTCCAGGTACCCCAACCCCTCCTGGGTGTGATGGGAAGCAGCCTCAGAGATCCATGATGGGCAGCCCAGCCCCAGTGCCTTTGCTCAGATGGAAGGAGGCAGGGGCGGCATGGCAGAGACCCTTCTGAGGGCCAAGATGGGGCAGAACTGGACTTGGAGAATCTGCCAAGAGACCTCAATGGCTTCTAGAAAGAGCCAGGGCCTCAGATTCACCAAGATCCAAATCTAACCTTCCAAGGACACTTCCAGCACTTTCTGGGTCTGCTCTGCCTCATTTCCTCATCTTTAAAAAGAGGACAAGGGCTTTAAATTTCCTTCTTATCTTTTATTTTCCAGGCCTGCATTCTTCACCTATATATATTAGTTTCATGGGTCGTTTCTTCACCCAAATTCAGAAGTAACTACCCCTACCCCCAAGTATTCTCAGAAGAAATGAAGGGAGAGACAGCTTGGCCTTGCAAGTGCTGCACAGCTGGATGCAGCCAGACCTGCTCCCCACACACCAAGCCTGGGAGGCAGTGCACTAACCACAGACACGCGACCGGAAGTCCACAGAGTCCTCGCCCACTTGGCACAAGTAGGTGCCTTCATCCTGCACGGTGACTGAGGTAGCCACCAGCCGGTGCCGTGTGCCCATGTCCTCCTGTGAGAAGTACTGGCAGGAGTGACCAAGCTCCACGCCATCCTTGTGCCAGTGTACACACGTGGGCCTCTGAAGTTTTGTATTCAAAATGGGCTGAGCCCCCGGCCATGGCATCCACACAGCCACCAGCCACGTCCTTGTGCAAAAAAGGATGTGAGGCCTACAAGGGCACATGGGCAGGTCAGGGGGCCGACAGAGCCCTAACCACACACGTGCCCAGGCAGCTAGCAGAGGAAGGTGCTCAGGGCTTCAGGATCATGGGAGACACTGGCCCTCGCCCAAACCTACGCCCCTTCAGAGACAGGGCCAGCCTCAGCTGCTGACTTTCAACCACCCAAGTGCCACCCACTCACAGGAAGCTCCTCCCGTACTGAGCAGAGTCCCTGACCCCTACCCTCCCAACGAGGTTGGCAGGGTCCCGGGTTCCCCACCCTACCCTCAGGGGTCACCTGAGCCTGCCCTGACCCCCCTACCCTCCTCACAAGGTCAGCAGAGCTGCCCAGACTCCTGCCCTCCCCACATGGTCACCTGAGTCCATCCCATCCTCCCACTGTCTCCATAGCGTGGGGTGAGCACCCCACACACACCCCTGCCCTCCCCACAGGGTCACCTGAGCCTTTCTGACTCCCCACCCTCCTCAGGCGGTTGGCAGAGCCCCCTGATCCCCCACTGTCCCCACGGGGACAGAGAACAGCGGATCCCACTACCCAGGTCCCCCAGAGCCTATCCAGAGCTGGGGGACAGAATGCGTGGCCCTGGCCACGGCAGCGGCCCAGGGAGGACATGAACACACACACACTGGTGTCACCTTGCACCAATAGTTGGTAGGCGATGCGGTCCCCGTGGCTGACACACTCATACAGCCCTGCGTCTTCTCGCTTCACGTCCCGCACTAGCAGTGCCCGCTGCCCGGCTGACGCCTGCACCTCATACTTGGGGCCTGGAGACAGTGCGTGTCCGTCCTTGAGCCACGTCACAGCTGCAGCCTGGTCCGATAACTCGGCCAGGAGCTGGGCCTCCTCATGCAGCCGGGCCAGCACCTCCCGTGCTGCCACTGCTGCTGCCGGACACTTGGTCGTCAGCCCCGGGGCTGCTGGAAGTCACAGACAGGTGGACAAAGCGGGTGTGGATGAAGGGGGAAGTAGGCGGGGGGAGTGGAACGAGGCAGAGTGAACAGAGGGGGAAGAGCCAGATATGGTGGAGGGGAGTCAGAGAGGCAAGAAAGGCAGAGGCAGGACAAGAAGTGGTGTAGAAGGAATCAACCAAGAGGGCGGAGGGGAGAAGGGGGGCATACAGACGGAGAATTGAAGCTTGGCGCCACTGGGGACACTTTAGCCCCTCTTCCACTCACACCCGGTGACCTTGCACACCCCACCACCTGGCCCCACTTCATCCAGCAGCCCGCCTGCCCCAGGAGCAATGACAGATCTTCCGAGCCCTGAGACCCCAGGGACCCCATCCCACCCCCACTCCTGGAGGAAACTGGGCTCAGAGGGGCCCCAGGGTCATGGGACGGGGTCCCCCTACCTCGGACCTCCATGCGGATGCTGCTCTCGATACCATTGGCCACGAACTTGAGCTCGGCCCCGTGCAGGCTGACAGGCACCAAGCGAATGGTGAGAGTGTGCCGGGTGCCATCACAGTGTATCACATACACGCTGCTGGCCTTCAGGGCCTGTCCGTCCAGGAACCACTCCCCTGCTGAGGCCGTAGTGAGGTCCACAGAGAAGGTCACCTCGCCGCCTTCCACTGCCTCTACCACCTTCAGAGGTGTTTTCACAGCCAGCTGGGGGGCTGTGGGATGGGGGCTTCAGGAAGGAGCTGGGCCCCTGCCCTCCCCTCCTCCGATGCCTGGGCCCAAATAACCCCCTGCTCTAGGAAGTCCACTGGACAAGCACATGGAGACCACGAGCAGAAGTCAGACGCAGGGCGGAGTGAGGACAAGTTACAGCCACCCGAGATCCCCTTCAGATCCCACAAACCCAGTGTGGTGGGGCAGCTGTGTAGCCCAGTGCCCGGGGGCTGGTGGTGGATACAGATAGGTTCCTGTGGGGCTTGAGTCCTGTCTTTGGGTCCCCTGGCCTTCCCACAAAAACGTCTTCAATAGCATCAGGACCCTGGGCCCAGCCCCCTACCGTAAAGAGGACCCATGAGTCACTCTGGCCTCTCCAAGGCTGGGCCACACTCTGGGTCTGGGTGATTCCGGGGCAGATGGCCCCACAGGTTGTTACCAGGGTGCCGGGGAGAACAGAACCTTCCACACTTACCCAGGTGTACAGTTCCCGGGAACTCGAGGTAGGGGCTGTGGCCAAAGCTGTTCACAGCTGACACCCTGAACTGGAATTCCCCCTCCTCGGCCACGCCAGCCACAGTCAGCTCAGGCATTGCCACCCACTCGTCTTCATGGCACCGGCTCCAGGGGTAGGTGCCCACTCTCTTCCTCTCCACCAGGTAGCCATCGATAGCAACAGGGCGGTCCCCATGGGGTGGTGGTGACCAGCCAAGGGTCACGGAACTCTCTGTCCTGGCCTTCACCACAGGGGCCTCAGGAGCACGCAGGAGCGGCCTTCTGGGGGCTGAGCAGAGCACGGGCCCATGTCACCAACTGGGCGCCCCCTCCCCAAGCCCTGGCTCCAAGGTCACAGTAGGATAAAGGGGTTGTCCCAGAATTCCCAGCCCTCCCCGGGGGCACCACCCTGGTGGTCTGAAATGGCCTCAGCCCAAGGGGACTGCCAGCCCAAGAGGACGCTGTGAGCCCATAACCCCAGTCTCAGCTCTGTGGCCATTTCTCTGTTTGCAGTGGAAAGAGCGCCCGGGCTTCAGGGGCCACCCTGAGCCGTCCACGCCTGGAAAGGAACTCTTTCCAGTCCTCAGCCTTGACCCCCATCTATGCATTGGGATCTTGGGCTGGATGATGGTTGAGGCAAGGCACAATGACCCTTCCAAGGGTGCTGAGACCCACGTGCAGGGTCCCTGTCCCCAGCAAAGGGCTGACCCTGGGGGAGCCAATCTCAACACCAAAGGCCACAGAAAGAGGACACACCCACAATGTCACGCCCTACACGCTGTGCTTCTAGAACAACCTGCACTTTCTAATCTGGTTCACAGGGTGGGGAGCCGCCAGGACTCCTACTTTGCAGATGCCTAGTGTGACCACAGTGGATGAGGGTGTCAAACAAACCATGAGCCCCAGAGAACCAGAGCTACAACCTAGGCATTCCCTGCCCTGCACGGCGCTCCCCGCAACAGGCGACAACTCAGAGCAGGGCCTAGTGGACTGTGGGCAGTGTACCCTCTGTGTGACAGGTACTCCCTAGGCCCTTACCTGACACGCAGAACTGGGTGGACGTCCGGCAGCCCCCAGCCACAAAGGCCACCTCACCGGCATCGTCCAGGCTGCACTGGGAGACGGTCAGCGTGTGGCACGTGCCTTCGGCAGTAATGGCCACCCGGCCCCCGGCCACCACCTCCTGCTGGTTCCACAGCCAGTGGATGGGGCCCTCTGGCTTGGCCAGCTCCACACAGAACACGGCCGTGTCTCCCACTCGCCCAGCTGTCTTCCTCGGGAGCTTTCGAAGGAGGTTGCCTGGGGTGGGCAGAGGAGCAGTGGGGAAGGGGAAGGGGAAGGGCTGCAGCGGGTCAGAGAGACTCCTGTAGGCCTGTCCCACCCCTACCTCCTTCCCGTCCCTGTCCCCCAAGTGCCCACCCCACCCCTCCCTGACGCACCCCTCGTGCCAGGGTCCTGCCCGCCCCACCCGCCCACTACCTACGGCGCTTGCCCAGCTCCTGTGAGACCCGGACCCTGCCCAGTCTCTGGGCCCCCTGCCCGCCCACCTTGCACCGCCAGCTCGGCCACCGTGCGACTGCCCTCTGCCGTCTCACAGATGTACACAGCATCGTCATCGGAGGTGACGTTGAGCACGGTCAGCCGGCGCTCAGCGCCTGCCTCCTCGATGAGGTACTTGGCACCGGCCCACAGCCGCGTCTCCTCCTTATACCACGCAGTCTCCATGGGTGGCTGTGGCACCTCACACTGGAACGTGGCCGACGCTTCCTCTGGCACCTCCAGGTCTTGCAGCCGCTTTCTGAAGGGCACCTTGGGCTCTGCAGAAAAAGAGCTCAGGTGAGTGGGGCGAGGAGAGGGAAGAGGGGCAGTCAGGGGGTGAGGAGGAGGGTGAGGGGAAGGAGCGGGGGCAGGGTAAGGGACGTGTAAGGCTGGGGTGGGGGCAGGGAGCCAGGACAGGGGTTGGAGGGGCTTTCGAGGCAGAGGGTGGTGGGTGGGAGGGCAGAGGAGCTGTAAGGAGGAGACAGAGGGAGGTAGGGGTACAGAAAAGGAGGGAGGACAGAGGAGAGGGAACAGAACTTAAAGGAAAGAGCCCCCCCACCCCACCAAAATATAAGGAGACGTCTGGAAGAGAAAAGGAGAAATGAGGCAGGCGAAGCCACAGCAAGTAGCCCCACTGAGCAGGCCCCTAAGCTGGTCCTGGACAGGCAGGATGGGTTGGGTTCACATAGCAGTGAGGCCACTGGACAAGTACTGGCCTGCGAAATTGCTCAACTCCAGGAGCGCACTTCCGTGCGAAAAACGAGGAAACCGAGGCACGCACACGAAGGTTGAAGCACCCTGCTGGAGACCCTACAGCTGGTCAGAAGTGGAGGTGGGACTCCAACCACTTCAAGAGGCTGGTCTTAGGAAACAAGAGTAAACAGCCCTCCAGCAAATTCTGATGGTGCTGCCTACAGCTGCCCCGGTGCCCTGGAGGAGCCCCCAGACCTGGACCTGAGCCTGCAAACTGACCCAGAGCCACCTTCAAGCTGCACCCTGGTGCAGCCCCAGCCTGAGGCCTCCGACAGCACAAGGTTTGTCCTTGCTCCTGCCCTCCTTCCAGCTCTGCCAGGGAGACCCCCTTAGCATCCTGTAGGAGGGGTGGAGAGCCTGGGTCACCCTCAGCCTGGAGAGAGCAGGCTCAGCTACCGGGCACCCTGACCATCTCCCAGAGGGAGGGGGTGTTAGTGACAAAGCACTTTGTTGTATACTCGTGTTACTCTCACAGAGACAATGGAACAGAACAGCGAGAGCTGCCAAGACCTTCAACCACGGATTCCTCTACCAGACAGGCACAGGGTGGGGAGATGGCAGCAGCAGCCAACGCTGGAAGGAAAACGCAGGAGGCCTGGGGAGGAGCCTCTGCCTGTGCTCACTGCGCACAGTGACCTTATGCCCGGCGCCGGGAGCTCACCTCGCACGACGACTAGCACGGAGCTGTAGGTCTGGCCCACGAGGTTGGACGCCGTGCAAGTATAGAGGCCACGGTCTGACTGCTTGCAGAAGAGGATCTTGAGCACGAAGTTCTCCTGAGCGTCCTCGTACACCACATGTCGCCGGCCCTCAGCCACCAGCTGCCCATCTTTCTTCCACACGACCTCGGGCTTGGGCTCACCCGTCACGAAGCAGCTGAGGCGCGCGTGCTTGCCCTCAGTCACCGTGCAGGTGCGCGTGCAGGCGCTGGGCGGCGATGCCGGGGCGCCCTCGGTGCGCATGGCCTCGCGCCGCAGCTGCAGGTGCGCCAGGAGCATGGCCGTGGAGGCCCCAGGCGGGCCGTCTGTGTCTGTTTCCGTGTCCACTGCAAGCCCGGCGGCGGCGCTAGCGGCGCCCAGCGGGTTCTCCGCGTGCACCGTGTAAGTGCCGCTGTCGCGCGGCCGCGCAGCCAGGATGCGCAGCGCGCTCGCCTCGCCGCTCGCCTCCACGCGCACTCGGGGAGCGTCCAGCGCGCCCAGGCGCCGCCCATCCTTGGCCCAGCTCACAGACATCGGCGGCGAACCGCGCACGCGGCAGCGGAAGGTGGCCTCGGCTCCCTCGCGCACGCGGATGGATGTGGGCCGCAGCAGAAAGTGGGGTGCCTGCTCGGCGCACGCTGCCTCGGCGTCCACCTGCAGGCCGACCGCCGCGAAGGCTTCGCCGATGGCATTGCGCGCACGGCATACATACTGCCCACTGTCACCCAGTGCCAGGTCCAAGATGGTGAGGCGGTACAGGTCGCCGTCCTGGGCCAGGCGGAAGCGAGTGCCCGCCTCCACCTGCTGCAGGTCCTTCTCCCAGCTTACCTGCGGTGTGGGGTTGCCCACGATCTGGCAGCTCAGCGTGGCGTCTTTGCCCACCGACACCACGAAGGCCTTGGGCCGGGTTAGGAAGCGAGGTGCACCGCTGAACGAGGAGTGATCCA